CCGTCGAGCCCTTGCCCTCCCTCACACATTCGCGGTTATGCTGGGCATGCGCGTTGCAACTTGACGTGGACTGACAATAAGAACCAACCACCATCGACCAAAAGCGATCCACAGATGTCAGCTTCAAGCTGAAAGCGTTGATGCACTCATCCTGCCAGGAAGGGCCGATGCAAACAACATTCGACATCATAACAAAGCGCTCAAAAACGGCATGCATTCAGACGCGGGCTCACTCGCGCACGCACACACGCACACACACACACACACACAAAAAAAAAACAAACAAACAAACAAACACGTACGCATAAGCACACACACACACGCGCGCGCGCGCACGCACAACACTCGCCACTCTCTCACCCATCCAATGTGAGTGAGGAGGAGGAGGACGACGACGATGAGGAGGACGAGGAGGGCGAGGAGGAGGAGAGGCACGAAGACGACGAGGACGACGGCGACGGTGGCGGCGGCAGCGGCGGCGGCGGCGGCGGTGACGACGACGACGACAACGGCGCGGCAGCGACAACGGCGGCAGCGACGACAACGGCGGTGGCGACGGCAACGGCGGCGGCGACGTCGTCGACGACGACGAACCCCGCGCGCGCCTCGCCGCGCGAGGCGGGCCGCGTCGGCCGCGCGGCCGCCGCGGGCGGCGGCGGCGGCCGCGGCGGTTCCTCGCGCGTGTAACGCTCGGCGGAGGCGCCCGGCGCCCTGGCGACCTCGGCGGCCGGGCACCCTCGGCAGCGGCGGCACGACGGCGACCGACGGCAGCGGGCGGCGACGGACGCGGACGGCGGCGGCGACGCCGACGCCGGCAGCGACGGCGGCAGTGGCGGCGACGGCGGGCGGCGACGAGGCCGGCGACGGCAGCGACAGCAGCGGCGGCGGCGGCCCCGCTCCGGAGGACCCGCTCCGCCGCAGATGGGGCAGAGCCGGACCTCCAACCCCTCCTCCTCCTCCTCCTCCTCCTCCTCCTCCTCCTCCTCCTCCTCCTCCTTCCTCCTCCTCCTTCCTCCTTCCTCCTTCCTCTTCCCTCCTCCTCTCCTCCTCCTCCTCCTCCTCCTCCTCCTCGGCGTCGAGGGAGGCCGTCTTCGGACCGTCAGGCCGACACTCGGAAACGGCAGCTCCAGTTCAGCTGCTATGAAGGGGCCCTGGGACACACAAATGAATACAGACAAAGAAAAAGGCTCCTCATATCTTCCCGTATATTTCGGGGTTTCTGTCTTCCCGCCCACTTCCCATATTTTCCCATACTTTCTGGGGGGATCGACGATTCATTGTGTCTGTGTGTGTTTTCCCCCTGATACTACACGATCAGGAATAGAGGAACCACCATGGCAGAGCTTAAGGCTTAGCGAGCCCCTTCCGAACCCCACTGCTCTACTGCGGAGGCTGGAAGGCAAATGGCCCAGGGGATACATGCGGTGGCCGCCCCTGGGCTGTTCGCCCCTGTCGTCTCAGCCTTTCAGCGTCTTCACTGCACACCGACTCCACTTCTCAGCGTTTCACTGCCCACCACCACCGCACCGTCCTGGCATTCCTATAGGCCTACCACAGTCTTCCTGCAGAGCAAAATAACAATCTGAACAAAAACCATGTTATTGTAACATAAAGCCAGCCGATTGAAACAAGACGGTCTCAGCCAGAAGTGTTCTGAGATCAAGTCGTGATAGCCACAGAAGGCCCTTAGAATATTATTTGGTGGCCTAACAAGCCAGGACGCTTCGCTTCGCCACTGCGTGACTCTGCAGGCGTCATCAAACTGCGGGGGGGGGGCCGTAGTGGAAAATTGAGGGGGCCAGGAGCCTGGCAAGGACCTCAAGTGAATATGCTGTTCGGCGTGTCTTCCAAACGCGTGCGTGCCGTGTTATTGCTATGCTTCGTGTTACGCTGCACCATCCCTATGCCCCTATGCCTTCCCATGGTCTGTGTTCTTTTCAACGCTTCCATGGTGTACGTATATCCCACCTCTCCTTCTCCTCATCGCCCGCCTCCTTGTGCTCCTCCTTCGCACTCCTCGTCGTCGTGTTTCCTTCCCACTCCTCTTCTTCACTGCCTAAGCCAGATTCCTGACGGCTGCACCTCATGCTTCAGATACCCACCTCGCCCTACACTATCGCGATCGCACCGGACTCAACACAAACTGCACCCTCCTCTTCGCCCTCCCCCCTCCTCTGCTATCCATCCCCCTTGTCCTCCTCCAGCCCTCCGTCTCCTCCTGCCTCCTGTTCGCCTCACCTCCTGCTCCCTCCTCCACCCTCCCTCATGCTCCTCCCCCCCTCCCAACAGCATCCCTGCGCACTCTCCGAGGTGGCGCCGCGGCGCGTTGCTGCAACCGCCCGACTATCCGCCGAGTGGCTGCCGCACCGCGCCTGCGCACGCGTGAAAGCACGTTCCAAGGGCAGGTCTGCCGATCGCATGTCGGTAACACCCCCAGGCTTAGGTCGGGCATGTCCTCCTACAGGCTGATTTGGGCGAAAAATAAAGGATACTCCAAAAG